ATGCGCGTGTGTTTCATCCATACATTGCCGTCAACCCAGACTGGCGCCTATCATGATAGTACATTGACATTGAACTCCTTGCGACTCATTGGCCTAAAAAAGACATGTTTTTACAACTCCCATCCTAACCTAACCCTAACCCTAACCCTAACCCTAACCCTAACCCTAACCCTAACCCTAACCCTAACCCTAACCCTAACCCTAACCCTAACCCTAAGTAACCCTAACCCTAAGTAACCCTAAATTAGTCTTAGTAGTTCTTTTTTAAAACTAATTAAATATAAGTATTTACGGGAGGGCTAATCGGAGTAAAATATAAAAAGAAAAGGCCCCGATTAAAAATAGGAATTTAGTAGCGCGGATTTTTATTTTAATTATATATATACTTTTTTAAGATCGAACTAGAGCCTTTTTAATAATTTATTTTTAAATATAATAATATAAGACGATTAAGAAGTCTACCTTTCTAATCCGGCTAATATTATCCTCTTTCTTTAGTTATAACTCCGTTAATTAAAGCCGTATTAACCTAATTAAAAGAGGTATCTTATATTACTTTTATAAGTATTAATAGTTTTTTTAAAATACCGCGCTACGAAAGTCCTCTATACCCTATACGTTTTTACTAATTTTAAAAAAAATAATAACGAACTATAATATAAACATATTTATTTATTTAAAAATAACTAAACTATTTAGTTTTATAAAACTAAAGAATATAAAAAGGTTACGATAACCCCCTATACAAATAAAAACTACTCTTTACTTAACCCCGAGGACCCCTTTTATAAAAAATTATTTTAAATAAAGTACCTAAATAATAAGTATTTTTAGTACCTCGTATATAAATAAAATAGTTACTTCTACTTATAAAAACGTAATAATAAGCCTATTAAAAATATCTATATAGAAAACTAACTACCTAACTAGACGTTACTAAGTCTTAATAATAACGATAAAATAACATTCAGCCTAGACCCTAGCTTTTCTATAAAGTACCTTAATAGTAAATATATAAAATAAGAAAACTATAAACATAACTAATACTAAATCTACTATATTAAAAAGGCTAAAATATAAAAAGAATAATAAGAACTACGTAAGTAAAGTACTTAGTAAAAGAAGCGTATATTAAAAAACTAAAAAAACTAATTATAAAAGAATAATAAAAAGCGAGAATAAAAAAAAAGTTCTTATATATAACTTAATAATATAACGACGTATACTTATAAGTTAACCTTAATATTTATAAACGAGGACTAAACGCTATTATTTATAACGGTATATAAAAAACTTATATCTTACTAAAAATAATAAACGAACTTAACTTATTATAAATATAAAAAAATAACTTATACTAATTATAAATAGTAAAAAGAGAACGAGTTAATTATAATTATAGATATATTAATTAAAAAACCGTATACTTTTTAATATATATTAATAACTAATAAAAATAACTATAATATAATATTACGGAAATCGGAGATATTAATATTATTTTAAAAATCTTATAGTTATAAAAGTATAACTTACGGATAGATTAAACTACTAACTAGGTTTTTTAAAAAAGTCTAGTTACTAAACGACTTAAAAAAAAAAAGGGTTTAAACGGATTTTTAGTAGCTTTTAAAAAACGAGAATAAATATAATATATAGCTTTTATTAAAATAATAAAAAGCTTTAAGAAGTTCGTAACTAATACTAATAATTAAAAATCGTAATAACTCTAAACTATACCTAAGGAGTACTAAATATATATAAAATTATTTATAAAACCTAAAAAAATAGGATTACTAAAACATAGTAATTAAAATATAAAAATCGAACTTAAAAAAAGAACATAACCTAGGTTCTATTTAATATACTTAATAAATTAAAAAAAATAAGAATATCTTAACGAATATATTAATAAAAAACTTAAGAAGGGATATATTTAACTATTAAACTCTTTTATAAAATTCCCCTTATTCTTTATATTAAAAAAGGGTAAAAAATTAAAACTTATTATTAATTATAAAAAACTTAATAAAATTATAAAAAAAAATTATTACCCCTTATTACTTATTACTGAGCTTAAAAATTTATTTTACGGAGCTAACTAATTTATTATTATAGATCTTAAAAAAGTATTTAACTAGATTTAAATTAAAAAAAGAGATAAGTAAAAAACGGTATTTTAAACTCGTAAAGGACTCTTCGAGTACCTTATTATACCCTTCGGACTTATTAATACCCCGGTAACTTTTTAAATAATAATTAACTACGTATTCTAGGAGTACGTTAATATTTTTATTATTATTTATATTAATAATATTCTTATCTTCTCCCCTAACCTCGAAATATATAAAAAGTATATTTATATAGTATTTTAAAAGCTCTAAGACGCTAAACTATATACTAAACTCTCTAAATACGAGTTCTACGTATAGAGGGTAAACTTTTTTAAATATACTATTATACTAAAATAAATTTATATATAAGTATTAAAAATAAAAGTAATTAAGGACTAGCCTATACTATAAAACGTTAAGGACGTATAAAAATTCTTAAAATTTATTAACTTCTATTAATAATTCCTTAAGAACTATACTAATATAGTTAGACCTCTTAATAACTTAATACAAAAAAATACCCCGTTCGTTTAGGATCCTAAGTATAAAAAAGTATTTATTAAAGTTAAAAATATAGTTATTTCTAAACTAGTTATTATAATCCTAGACCCTTAAAAACTTTTTAAAATTAAAACTAATACCTTAAATTTTACTATAAGAGCGGTTTTAAAATAATAAAATAAATAAAAAAAGCTTTACTTATATTACTTTTATTCTAAAGCATTCTACGGAGCAAAATTAAATTAGCAAATCTATAATAAAAAACTAATAGCAATTATTAAAGTATTTTAAAAATAGAGACCATAGTTATCTAAAACTAAGTACGAAATAATAGTTTATATAAACTATAAGAACCTTATAAACTTTATAACGAATAAGAACTTAAATAAATAACAAGTTAAATAGAGCGAATTCCTATTTAAGTATAACTTCTAAATTATTTATTAAAAAAGTTTAAGAAATAGTAGAGCGGACGCTCTTAATAAAAGACCTAATTATAAAGTCGTAGTCCCTAAAAAAATATAAGTTATTCTTAAATAAAAAAAGGATAGTAACTTTATACTAACTATAAAACTTTTTATAATAACTAAAAAGATTAATACTAGCCTAACTAAAAAGATAACCCCTAAGCTTATTATAAAAATTTATAGTATACTAGCACATAATTACTAAAAAGTTACTAAAACGTAAAAACGGATTCGCTAGTATTATAATAAATCCGCTATATATATTAAAATTATAAAGGTAATTAAGGACTACGTAACTTATAAAAAAAGTAAAAATAGCCCGCATAAACCTTATAATAAGCTATAACCATTATAACTACTAATAAAAATATAGTAATTAATTACATAGGACTTTATTATTAAACTACTAAAGTCTAGAAAACCGTTTACTAAAATATAATATAATAGTATTTTAATTATAGTTAATCGACTTACCAAATTCGCCTACTTTATTCTTTATAAAAAATTAAATACTATAAAAAACCTAGTATATATATTTACTAAGGTTATACTTTTAAACTACAGTTTACTAAAAAAAATCATTTTTAATAGAAATAAGCTATTTACTTCGAAGTTTTAAAAATCCCTAATTTCGTAACTTAATATAAACTATAAACTATTAACATTATTTTATCCGTAAACTAATAAATAAATAAAAAAGATTAACTAGATCTTTAAAATATACCTTCGTTATTATATAAACTATAACTAGGATAATTAAGTAGCACTCCTACTAATAGCCTAGTTTATATATAATAATATAATTAATAAAAATATAAAAGAATCCCCATTTTACCTTAACTACGGATTCTAACTAATAATATATAAAAAAGCACGATAAGGATTATAAGCTATAAAAACTATAATAAACGTAAATAAGCTTAAAAAAATCTATAAATAAGCCTTACTTAACCTCGAATTTATATAATAATATATAAAAAAAAATGCGGATAAATTAAAAATTAGAAGACTATTTTTAAAAGAGGGGAATAGTACTTATCTCCTTTACTATAATATTAAAACAAAATAACTAAATAATAAATTAGATTATAAAAAACTTAGACCTTTTAAAATTATTAAAAAAGTCTTATTAATTAATTATAAATTAAGATTACTAAATATAATACGATACTATCCTATTTTTTATATTTTACTACTTGAGCTTATACTAAGAGGTTTATATATAAAAAATTATATTATCGTTAAACTAAATTAACTAAAATACGAAGTTAAATAAATTATTAACTATAAAATTAAAAATAGAATATAAAAATTCCTTATTAAATAAAAGAGCTATAAATATAAAAAAAACATATAAAAACCTATTACGAACTTCTAAAACTCTTAAAAATCCTTTTTAAAATACTAAAATTAAAATTAAAACTAAAATTCCTAGCTATTATAGCATCCTAGTTAATTACCTTAAAAATATTACTAAATTACGCCTCCCGCATAGTAACTAACTTATTCTTATTAATAATATTAAAAAAATTAAAAATTACTTTTCCCCTCTTAAATACTATCTTTTTTTCTTTTTAAAAATAATCTAACTTTAATAAAAACTCGTCTATCTTAGCCTATGTATAATATAAAGCCTCTACCCATTTTTAAAAAAAAAAGCTCTTTTACCTCTTTTTTATACTCTAACCTATTAGCTTTAAATAAAAAACGATCTATTATAAATATAATTAGTATAAAAAATATTAATAAAAAAAAAAAAAAAAACTTATAATTATATATAATATTAATAATCGTATTATAAAAATAACTACGACGCATATACTTATAATACTTTAATTTACCTTCTAATATTTTATATTTTTACCCTAATAAATAACAAAATAAATAAAATATTATAATTTTAAATCCTCGCTCTTTAATTTTAAAAATAAGCTTTAAATAATAATATATTAAAAATCTAGCGGATATCTTAATATTTTTAAAAAAACTACTTAACGAGCCCTAACTTAGGCTATAATAACTTACTTATAGGTCTATAAAAATAAGACTTTTAAAAAAAAAACTTAATATTATAACTTAATATATATAACTAAAACTAAGGCCCGCTCCGTAAGCTTATAGCGGCTACGGTATACTATATATATAAAAATATAAAAATATAAAATAACTCTTATAAAATAAAAAAACTATAAATAAGTTATATATAAATAAAAAATAGTAATTATATAATAAAGTAATTATTATAATTACTCTAAGTAAACGCTTATTAATATCTACTAAGTAATTACCTAACGAACAAAAATAATTACTAATAAAAGGTATATTTATAATCGGATTTATATATAAAATAAACCTAAGCCGGATTTAAAAATAAACTTCTATAACTTCTTTAGTAATTAACTTAATATTAAATTTTATAATCACTTTTAACTATTTTTACTAAGAACCCCTTTTAATAAAACTATAATTAATTACCGAAACCTTACTTACCTTACGACTTATAAATATAGCTTTAAAAAAACTATTTATAACTATAATACTATTTATTTAATACTCGTAACCTTAACTTTTATTAATAAACTTACTATAACTAACTAACTATAATATATACTTCTTATTATAACTCCCGTTATACTTCTTATTATAGTTCTTATTATATTTCTTATTATAGCTCTCGTTATACTTTTTATTATAGCTCCTATTATACTTCTTATTATAGCTCTTATTATACTTTTTATCGTAGCTCTTAGTAATAACTAAATAACGAACGTTTTATAAACTACTACTACTATTATATATAATAACTTATATAACTTTAACTACTTTTTTCTTACTTATTATAGTATTAATAAAATTAATAATCTTATTTTAAATAATTAACTTAATATATATATAAAACCTCCCCGCTTCTTACTTATTAAGTATAGTATTATTATTAATTATTATATTTTAAAAATATATACTAAAGCCGCTATTATTATTATTAATATTACGTAAGTTACTTACTTTATATAACTAGATCTTAGTAATCCCTTAGTAACGTATTACTAAGGGTTATAATATTATATTTTTTTTTTAAGAGTTATACTAAGCTAAATAAAAGGGTTTTATAAAATATTATTAATTAACTTATTTTTAGTAACCTTTTGCTACGAATTTAACGTTTATTATCCTATTTTATATATATCCTTTTTTTATAATATTCGAATTTTTTAATTATTTTTATTACGCTTTTAAAATATTTAATAAGTTCCTACGTATTATATTCTATAAATTACTTAGCTTATTTAATAAAATAATATAAGTTTCCTCTTTTATTTTACTTCGTAATAATTTTTTTAACTTTTTAAATATCTTACTTATCCTCTAGCTCTAGGAGATTTATTATTTAATTACTAACCGTTTAGTAATTTCCTTATAATTCGAGCTAAGAAACTAAGAAAATATTATATATTTTTTAATACTACTTTAATAAATATACTTAATAAGCCTATTTACTTACCCTTTTAGTTATTATTACTTTAATATATCTTAGTACTAATTTATTATTTTTAAAACGTATATTTTTTATTAATAAGCCGATAACTTTTTTATAATTAAACTCTTTTAGAGTATATCTTTTATTATAATAAGCTACTTAGCTCTTAGAGGCTTATACCTAAGCTTACGTAGCTTAGGCCCTAATTTTACTAATTTTTTAAACCCTTTTATAAACCTTTTAAACTATAGCCTTATAATTAAGTATATATTTAACATACTTAAAGTAATAACTATATAATACTATATATAAGGATACTTTTATAATAAAATATAAGCTATTATTATATATAAACTTAGCCTTTTTTAACTACGTTACCTACTTATTTAGTAAGCCCTTAATATAAATCTTTAAATACTTTTTTAATATTTAATAAGTCCGCTCTATTTAGCTATTTATTTATAAATAATATATAATAAATAGTTAGTAACGCATCGCCTATTCTTTAATAAACTCCTCTTAAAATACGCTTATAAAAAGCTTATTTCTATTTATAATAATATTTTTTAGTATACTAAACTTATATTTAACCTCCCTATATAAAATACTTATTATTTATACTATGTTAAGTATTTTAATAATAAATTAAAACTTTGCGAACTTTATTATATAATAAATAATAATTAAAATATAATTATACTTAGTACTGTTATTACGAGCGCTTAGTAATAACTCCGTAATAAAGTTTATAAATATTTTTTAAAATAGATATAAAAGTAATAATAATAATTATAGTTACCTATATAGCTTATATTTTAGGGTTATAATTTTTAAATAGTACTCGTAGTTTTTAATATATTTTTAAATATCTCGTTAAATATCTTTTTAATAAAACTTTTTTTAGATTAATTTAAGAGTTTTCGTAACTCCTATATAACCTACCCTATAGTCGTCGTAATATTAATAAAAGATCTCTATTTAAAAAAACTCTATTTAAAAAATAACAAGTCTTTTTTTAAAAAATAGTATACTTTATTCGTTAAATAAATATATTTTTAGCTCGCTAATTATAGTACGAACTCTTACTAATTATAATATATAAAATTTATTTTTAATTTATAATCTTTTAATAAGCTCCTTAATCTTTAATAAAAAATAAGAAGTAAATACCGTTTTACCCCTTATAAGCTCTTTTATAATAGGATATAGGATATACTATTTTAATATAATAACCCTAATACTATCCGACTCCTTTTTATTTTTATTAAACCGTTAACGAGCGTTTATTAATAACTCTCTTACTTTTTTATTTTAAGTTATTATAATAATAATTATTACTATTTTATTAATACGCCCTATAATATATTATTAATATAAAAAAAAGGATTCCCTATCCTTAAAACTAACTAATATTTAGCTAGGATTATAAAAAGAGGCCTCGATTATTTAAATATATACTTTAGTAATATTTTTTTTTTTTTTAAACTAATTATTTTTTACTAAACGTTAGGTAGTAGTTTATTAATAAGACGTAGTTTCTAAACTAATATAAAGAGGACGTTTTTATAAAACACTTCCCTCTTTATATAATTTAACTTTTTAAATAAACCGTCCGCTAGGTTTATTTTTCTTAATTAATATTTTAAATTAAAATTAAATATTAATAATTTATATACTTACCTCGCGAGCCTTTTTTAAAAATCTTATACTAATATACTAATTATTTTTTTAAGTATTTAATAATCCGTTAGGATTATAAACTTTTATAAAAAGCCCTAGAAATAGTAAGCTTAGTATTCTAATCTTTTTATTATAATAAGTAGTTCTTATTAACCCGTAGCTTATTATTACTTTATATTTAAAAACTTCTATAATTAATAAGTAACGGGTTATTATTTTCTATTAGCTTATTATAATAAAATTATTATAATAGTTTTAACTAAAGCGTTAGTTTTTACTTATATAATACGTTATAAGTTTTAGTATATAAGTATAATTACTAAAATAAAAGCGACTTTTAACTAATTAAATACCTTATTTACTTCTTTAGTCTACTAAAAATCCTTTACTTACCCCTTTTCTATTTTTAATAATACTATTATTAATATAACGATACCTAAGTATTTAATAATAAACTTTTAATAAAAGTTATAAAACCCTAAGAATATTTAAATATCCCTAATAAACTCTAGTACCTTCTAATTAGTAATCGTTCGTACTCGTAATAGGTTAATTTTAATTCTTTTTAATATAATAATATAACCTAAGAATTTAACCCTTTTTTAATAAAATAAGTACTTTAATAATTTAATAAAAAGCCCGTATAACTATAACTATTAGAGGACCTTTTTAATATTTTCCGTATACTATTCTTTTATTATTAAATAAATTATTAAATCGTTTATATATATTATATAATAAGTATTTAATAAGTTAGCGAGCGTTTAGTAGATATATACTTAGAATATTATAAGTACGTTCGTTAGTTTAAAAAGTATAATAATATACTTAAAATAGCTATATTAGCTCTAGAACGCTATTTTTTATTAATTTTCTTTTTTAATCTAGATATAGTAATAAGTATTTTTAATATTTATTTTTAAAATCTATTTTATTCCGTAAAGCCTATCTAAGAGCTCGCTAATAAGTAGTAATAAATATTAAATTTTTATAATTATTTTATTTAACTCGTAATAATTTATATAGAGGCGTAGCGTACTATCCTTTTTTAATATAAATAGGATTAATACTCTAGTCTTACTAACTAAAAATATAAT